TCATACAAATAGCTGACCTTGATTATGAGATAACTGGACCATTTTCGCCCCTTGGTCATCCAGTGTGTTGTTACAGGTGTGTCCCTTAGGGATTCTTATTTTGATATGGTTTCCAGATTGAAAATAAAATAAAGACAATTAGTGCATTAGCTACAAAAAAATTTCCTTTTATATGGGCTGCTTGTCTCATGCCCCTCACCCCAGTTTGGAATTTCTGGATTGTCACGTCCAGCTGGTATTGATTTACCCTGTCATTCTACTGTGGTGTCGATTCTCTTTACAGGTGCTGTAATGAAGGACTTGCCTTCTCGGGTGCATGGTCGACTTGCATCACAAGCTGCATGAGAAGTGTGAAGAAAATTTCCTAGGCCCGTGACATGCAGCCTCTTTCATTCAGCACACTCCTCTGGCGACAGGCGCATGATTACCAGCCAACTGTAGCTTCACTGCAACTGACAATAAACAATGACGGTAACAATTTTGTATGTTTCATTTATTGTTTACACACATTACGTGTTAAAATAACCCTTGTTATGAACTACATCATTTCTATTCAGGTGTGAATTCCACACAAAACCAAATGTTAGCATGGAAAACAAGACCGTGAACTGTATGGTTTTAGCCCGCTAGCCTGGGGTCTTGCTGGTATCTTGCGGTACTGCTGGTACTATGCCGGGGATTTGTGCTGGCAGCAGCCCGGGAACTCGCTGGGAAAAAAGACCGGGAACTGTATGGCTTGAGGCCGCTAGCCTGGGGTTTTGCTGGTATCTTACCCTATTACTGGTACTACGCTGGGGGTTTGTGCTGGCAGCATCCTGGGAACTCACTGGGACGCCCAGTGCCGGGCGTCCCAGTCAGTCCCAGTCGCTGGCCAGTGACTGGCAATCTCACTGGCCCGTTGTCGCCCCACGGGGCGTTTCCAGCGTCGGGCCAGTAGGATCTTGCCGGCAGACCGGTACCGCCCCATTCCCAAACCAGCGAGTTGTGCTACTTGGGTACCCGGATGGAGTTTCAGAGGATGCCTACCAAACCGGTATTCGTATTTAACGAGTGCCCGAATGAAACGGGTGCCTGTATCAAGCGGGGGCCTGCATCAAATGGTTACCGTTATCAAACGGGTACCCTTATCAAACGGTTACCAGTATCAAACTGTTACCCGTATCAAACGGTTACCTGTATCAAAAAGGCGCCCATATCAAATGGGTACTTGTATCGCGTAATGTCATATGACCTGGTCGAATCAACCAGTTTGCAACCCGTTCGAACTTCAAACGGTATTTTTCGGTATGGCTCGGTTGTGCGTTTTAACCAGTTCGCGTGACCCTCCTATGATGCGTTCCAATGTTGACAGATCTTTCTGTTAAGAAATATAATGCTGTCAGCGTACTCAGCTGAGGCTTCGGTTTGTGGGGCATAATTTGGACAATTTTTACAGACAGGGAAGTAACGTTACCATACCTCGTAAAACTGTTCTGTCAGCTCTTTTGTGTCGCTTGATCCGTAACAATGGAGGACAAACGATGAACAGAAGATCAGCAGCGTTATTAATTTTTTTGTTTGCATGGCTAAAACATTTCTGCAAAATAGGTCATGTTAGCATATAAAAAATGTAACATAATGTTTTGTGCAAAGGTTACTTCCAAAATGCGCCTAAACAACATTGAAACGCCAAGCCCTATAATTTGGTCATTCATCTCCATGAAAAGGTTATTTACACACGTTATAAAGCTGGCATAATTCGTTGTAAAGATAACTCGACAAAATGGCTCTACAGTACCACTCCAAGTAAATTGTCTAATAATGGAGAAGACAAAACACGTTCTTAATTGCGACACCTCTTAGATTATAACTTACTAAATGATTCAGCAAGTTGATAGATTCAGGAAACTTCAATACGCATATTCAACAACATTTCTGTTAATTTTTACAGCTTACGTGTTCTCCGTAGTTATCCGAATTAGTAATCTTTTTTTTTTTAATGTTGTACCACTCGCGTTTTACACGGACATGGTACAGTCGGTCAATAAACACAATTCGTGTAGAGAAAAATGCAAAAGTTCATCCGTGGACATACGGGTATATTGACTTCAATCACTCTTTATAACTTTCTATGGTTAAAATATTTCTAAATGAAGTATATATTTGAGGTGAGGATGCTTCGAACTTTTTACATGCTTTGTTTTACTCTCAGAATTTATCTAATAGACAACCTTTATTTAAAGCAGTATAAACTTAAAAGTTACAAGCACTGGCTCATTTTCTCTTTTTACTGCCTTAGCATTGTAGCAACGTATATCACCGCCGATTTTTAAACGAATAGTGGCATGCATGTGTAAATCGTAGACAATCGCGCCTACGCAAGCTTATATATCACCAAACAGAATGTGGAAGTACGGCACTGAAGCCAATTTCTACTTATCCAGAGTGCGTCGATCGAGCAAACCTAGTAGCTTTCGTATTCGCCGTGTATTGGCTGGGTTTGTCGTATTCGCTTTTGTTTGATTAATGTTAAGATTACAAAAACGTTTTTAATAGCATTTTGATTTAGGTAACTTCAAGGCGGCAATTAATGATTATATTGAGAGCAGGTTTTATACACTTGATAGAGGGTATTTAACAATTTACGCGACCATTAAAATACCACGCTTAGAACGAAACTCTTGATACATTTTACAGCAAGTCGCTGTAAAATGTAAAATTGTCGTATAGCAACACGTTTACGTATACAAACAACCGACCACAGAACGTGTATCGACCTCACGTTTAGCAAGAACGTAATCCGACGTAAAAATACAACCAATGACGGTTTTTCATAGCGACCATAAGATAATGATATCATAAGTCACTAAGAATTGAATAAAGACAATTAAACAACGAAGTCGTGCACCAGTCTTCATTGCAATCATATGTCAATCATATAGATGTCGTACAGTTGTCGTAAAGTTGTAGTAAAGATAACAGCTTAATTGTTTTAAATTCTCTTTCTTTCCTAGAACTATTGAAAACTGGTACAGCACTGATGGTGCGACTCGTTCACTTGATTTTAATAATTTTTCGGATGCACTTTAGGTTGTTTTGTGCATACTAGGGAGTGCATACTATCTATAACCCTTCTATTTTACGATGTGATCCCTTCTTTAACCCTTTTATTGTACTTATTGCTGTGTCTTTTTAGGGAGTGTTGCATTACCTATGGCCTTTCTTAAGGTCGCAGTATTTTGCAATAAAATAAATAAATACATTTACTGGTCCTCTAACCTCCCGTGAAGTGGATGGGCGCTACAATTTTTGTTTGTCTAAATATATTTGTAGCCTCGTTATTCGCTGAACTCCCTCCGTAGTTTGAAGCGATTAACTCTCTTTAGTGCTTTGCGAGAAAGTGGTGCATACAATGTATTTATCCCCTTCTATAGTGAACAAACTTACGTGTAATTGGCTTTTTTGTTTGAAGTACCTTAGCTTTATCGTATTTTCCGATTGGTCCACTCCCTCCATGTCTTATATTTTATTTGTCATATTTGTCCCAACTATTATGAGGTTGGGCATTAGTATCATTTTGTATAAATAACGAGAGAGAAATGTGACTTTCGAGTTCGAACGTAACGTAGTCAAATTGATTTTTATCGCCCTTTTCTCTAAGCTGTTTTGTACATTGATCTACGGCAGCGTTTATGAACTGCCTAATCAGTTTTCCTTTCGCGAAAAGTTAATGTTTCGTTTTACACTTTAAAACTGGCTAATTGTTGCCTATAGCGATGAGGAGCAAGACAAGGTGAAGACGAGGATCGGGAATTAAAAGCCGTAGCGACGACTATAAGTCACATTTAAACTTTGCCCCATTTCGTTTGGCAACAAACTCAGTGGCGACATCTATTGGGTAGCCCCGGCACACTTCCGGTTTACGTATATTTCTTAATTTTTGTTGCTCCTCATAGTTTTATTATAAGAATGAAATAAGTCTGACAGGACTATAACTGGCCATTGTGTGAAGATTCCGTGTATATTTGATTTCACAAATACTGCGAAATCTGCCCTCTAGTTCAGAACCCGAAGAGGTGGGGGGTTATTTGCACACCGGCGCCACCACGTGTAAACCTCGCGAGAGAAAGCGAATAGAGCATATAGCTGCGCGATAGTTACGGCGTTCGCAGAAAAGTGACTCCTTTCGCGTTTTAACTAAGGCCACTAATACTGGCAAGGAATGGGAAAATGTCGTCCAAACCTATCACTTTTTTTTTACAGGAAGAAGGGAACTTTGAGGTCGATAATATTCCCATGCAGCACACAACATTGAAACAGGCTATTAGGGGTAGATTTCGTTGCGAGTTTTCCTCTTCGCCGCCGCGTTTTGCGAAGATCGGCTCTAAGGAGGAAACCTCAGCCTAGCGTGTCATGTAGCAGCTGACAGAAAATCCAGATTGGACAATCTGGTAAAAATGCACTTAAAAGTGTTCGTAATGGTAAGTCTCATAACCTAATGAGACTTACAATAAATCTCAGACTTAGAACCTCGCAAGCCCATAACCTAATTCAACTTACACGTACTCTGCAATGTAATGCATATATATGTAAAATGTCATGACGATCTAGATAAAAGATGTCTTGCCGCATGAAATAACGTTTTGGGATCGGTAGCCGACTCAAAATCAATGTTTACAAACCTAAGGTGAATTATGTTTTAAATTTTATTTCCGCGCTTCGGTCGTATCAAGATGAAATCATTACGCGCTTCAAACATCATTTCTCAGCAATATTATATATGCCATTAAGCACACTTTACTTTTCACATTTGGTGTAATCCCGAATAATAAAGATCTTCACTGTTTTTGGTGGCTTGAAATAGACTTGAAACGTTCTGAACAAATCAAAATTTAAATAAGCTTACAAACGTAATTCTGGAGTATCATAATACCAGAGAAACTCGTTACACACTAAACTCATGGCATTAAATTACACACAAAATCAGTATCCGCAAAAGTTGCACTGACCCGTTTTCTTACCTATTACCACGTCCTTTGCAATTTGGGTTGTTGTGGCGACCTGAAGACGATCTATGGTTGGCCTGGACAAAATGAAACATTCATTTGCTCTCAAATTCATTTTTAACGTTGCGTGACACCAGAACAAATAAAGATACGAACGACAAAACAAGCTCCTACTCACAGTTACCTGGACCATATAGGCATCAGCAAAAACACTGAGGTTAGAACGCTGTAGAAGCGAATGACGAGAGCCTGCAGCTGTGTCTGGCAGGATCACCGGAAATGCGTGCGCGAACGAGGCACCGCGAACAACTGCGCGCTCACGGGACCAGTTTCCACAGCGTTTCACATTATTTATAATGTTCCGGTGTACACACTCGCAAGTGCGTTTTCAGCTTAGCCTCGGACGGCGCTCAAAGGTGAGGCGTACTCAGCTTGCAAGCAGGACTTTCGCTGCTTGTCGCACAATGTTGCCAGGCGTCACTCCCTGAAGCCGACGCCATTGCGCTTCGAGGGGCTGCCAACAACTAATAATGAATCATACATTTGACATCTTCGGCCGCAAAAGTGTACAAGACAATGAAAGGAAACAACCAAACCAGTAACAAACACAAAATAAATTGTAATACTTAAAACATCGAAAGCGCTTCCACGTGTGCTCCAAAAGCTTTGCTCATACCCTCCTTATCGCCCGCAACTGTTCCTCCGTAATGCGGAAACAGTCCACTACCGAGGCCCACTCTGGCGTCTGTGAGGATCACTGCATGCTGCTCACCCTCAAGAAGGACGAGATAGGCTGCACACACACACAAACAAAAAAACCCACACCTGAGGAGACCCAATAATCATATACCAGTATCAGCCCTCGCGCTCCTCCCTCGCGTGCCCTTGGCCGCAGCAAGGTATTTCTATTCCACAAGCCCACTGCCCTTTCTCTGGTTTCACTTTCACATACACCAATGGAGCACCGCAATATGGCAACGCACAAACGTTAGGCGGCGCCATCATCGCTCAAATGGCAGCACCCAAGAGCCTCTTTTATAGACGTCTATAAGGTGCAGAGGCGTCCTACAACCTATCTGTTGTTAAATTTTACAGTACCCACCAGTTAGGTCGCAGTTCGACGAGAGAGCGTCGTACTTTTTTTAAGCTAGAAAATGCGGACACAAAGCACTGAATGTGAGCTTGATCTATTTTGGTAAAAGTACCGGGTCACGTCTAGAAACCTTTAAGATAAGTGCCTATTTGAAGTCATTTGACTGCCTTAAACTATGTAGCCTGGACGGGTGTGAAATCGGAACATATGTGCCCGTAAGAAGCATGGCAAGTCAGAAAAAGCAGACTTGAACGCGGCCTGCGAAGCAAAGATGTCTGAGTAGATCTCTGTCTTATCTCAATGTGGCGCAGTCAAACACGATTAAAAATTCTCGAACCATATGACGAGATCACGGTTTTTAAACTCATACCCCTGCATTCACCTCGGAAGCGCATACACTTCAAATCATATCTTTACAGTCATATTCATTCGTGTTGCCGTATTTGCTGCATTCTGACGTTAACGTTTTTTGTTGTTTTTTCAAGTTCCGCGCATTTTATTAGTTTTTCTAGAAAGAATATTATCTTTCTACAAAATGGTTGTGCTTATTGTGGTACAGCAAAATTAGATTTGGTCTAATGCAATCATTCACCAAAATGTTACCCTAATGAAAATATTGCTCGGGTCAGATGCATACGTCGCGTGCAATTTAGACTGCCAGAATACGGTTAAAAAAATCAGCATTTTTGCAATTTACTACTCAAGAAAAATAATTGAAGCACCTACATTGTGAAAATGTGCGTGATATGCGTTGCTTGCTCGTAGGTTAAAACAAGGTACGTTTTGCTAGGCTAATTCCACATCCAAGTGAACAGACGTGACTTTGGACGGTTTGGCATGACATTGATCAAACAGGTTGAAAAAACAAAAAGTCATTGGTTTTCTCAATTTTTTTTACCTAATAAACATTACTGTAAACAACACCTGTAAATAAATGGAAATGAAAAATATATGGCTTGTATTCACTGATGTTTTCGTTTTCATAGAACTACTCACCGCACGTGCTTTCAAAGTTAAAGTTTCGCGCCATAATAAAATTTAGAAATATTTAACTATACAACCCTTCAAGAATCGTGTGCCTGACACTTCATGGTTCAATCACTGTTAATGTTTGTCTTACGCTCCCACCTCTTTCTACTGGCATACCAAAAATAAGCTCAAGCTTCTACGCTTTCGATTTCAATCCCGATTTCTTGAAGTGCCTTCCTCTTCATCTAACAAATGTTCGCAACATCTATGCTAAAATTTTTAATGCAAAATCTCTCCCCTCCTCTCCATGTGTAAAATCATAAAGATTACTCATACACAAGATGTAAGAAGTGGCTGTTCAGCCCTCCTTGACGTTAACCTTTATTGTTTATTTGTTTATTTTTTCTTTTAGCTAAATGAATAAATGCGGGCGAGTAGCACTAAGTGTTACTACGTTATGGGTGACGTGCTTGCACTTGTGCTTAGAATAACTTTACACGTGAAGCCGCTGGGTGAGGGGGGGGGGTAGATATTTTATTTGACCTGCAACTTAGATATCTCTTTATTTCAAAGCTCTAGAATTGTATAAAAGAAAGCATTTTGCCCTTGAAAAAGACAGAATGTGCTAACGTATGTTATCCGAGTGTGCAAAAGAGACAACGTGCTAAAACCAAGTGTAATCAAATCAGTCTCAGTTTTGACTGCTTTACAGTTCTCGGGTCAGTTTCATGTTGCACGGAAAGGGACAAACCTCACGCAAGACAATTTTTGCATTCGTGCATTTGAAGTCGGCATCATATATCTTGTACGCTTGACTATTGTTTTTGCTGGTGACATCGGTGACATCTGGAACACAACATATTAAAGAATTGTGGTTAATGCGGGAATAACCTCCGACAACCGTCGAAACAGTGGTTCGAAAGTATTTTATAATATACCACTTCATGACTTTACACTCCTCTAAAAAAGAAAGAAGGCAACCTCGGGAAATTTAGGGTTGTATTTCTTGTTTTGATTGAGCATAGAAGGTATCGTGCCAGCAATATGTGTGCGTTATTGTTAGTTAAGCGTTGTTACCGTCAGCGTTTGGACGGTTTTGGAGGTGTTGCACACACGACAGACTCACGAGGCCACCGGGTTTATGATGATAAGTATTTTTTTTTCTTTTTGAGGAGTGAAGTGTGCGATAATTATGCTTTAATGTGATATTTTCATAGGTTCTACAAATGCTTTACTAGGAAATACATCTTACAACACAAATAGATATGGCCTTGACGCCGGAATCTTTAGCGCAGTGTGAACGGTTCGACGAAAGGCGCAAGCAGCAATCAACATTGAGCCACTCTATAACTGGGAGGGGTGGTTGCCGCCATCTATCGTCGTGTAAACCCGCCGAGACAGCGAAGGCAGCCGTCTCGGCTGTCTTGGTGAATCCGGTATCTCAGTAGTAAGTACGCCCCGGCAGCCCTCTACCTTGGCACGCGCGACACTGCGATGCGCATGGTTTTCTCGGGCGCAGAGGTTTCCAAACCGCTCGAGCAGTATTTGGGGCCGGAGATGCGCTTTTTGATGCAACTGAGCGAAGTAGAGCGTGTTCTTCAAATAAAGTATTTGGGCCCTGCTTCTTCCGAGAGCGCGTGTAGCGCCTTGAGTCCTTAGTGCGCTTCGATTGCGAGGAGCGCATTGTGGGAACTGATGTCATCGCAAAGCGATGGGGTTTATTGCACCCGCTGATCTATTTATTGGATGTTTTGCTAAAATGTGAGGTCATAGGCCCACTGTGCCATCCGTTGATGCGTTATGAACTTCCCCGTGACGTTGTGGGATCACGCGAGGAGCTACGCTTCGTCATTCGAGACCCAGCTACGCGCACTAACAGTTGCATGTTCACGCAGGCTTCTTTGAGTCATACTTGGTACTGCTGTTTGCACTTTCGTGTCTGGATGGCGATTCTCATTGAGTCGCCTGGTATATCTGGCTTCTTACCATTTATTATGCCTGATCATGACTACGTACGAATATTTAGGGGACTAAAAATATTTTTACGTGTACACAAACAGCTCAATTCCTTCTGGGTGGTACACAACGAATATAACATAACATAAAAAAACACGCATACAGATATCAAATTACGCGAGTAATTTAGTGGCAAGATTACGACGAAACGTTCTCACATATGAATTATTTCAAGGTAGTAACAATCACGCTTGGGAAATTCAAGTTGCATTCTCATAATATGAGCCGTGGTAAAACGCGCCTGCGGGTAGAAAATCTGTGAGTACGGCTTGTGTGCGGTGGCACGTGAAAACAGACAAAGCTCAACAAGACAGGCGAGCTTACAATTCATTTGAGAACCGTATACAAAAAAAAAATACAGATAACGCCGCCTATCAAACAAAAAGCATAAGGCAAGTTCTTTAAGTAACACATGATAACTCTGGTACAACAATGCCTTTTCTTTGTACGCCTATGCACTGCCTATTATGGGCTGTATAGGCTTTATTGTCCTTGGCCTGAGTGTCACGCTTTTTCGTCAACACTGGGGAGAGTGGCACTTTGGTTTTAACATTTCGTGCATAAAGACATTCTGTGTTGAAGAAGTGTAGCAAAAACTACCATTTTGTGAAGCTCGATCTCGGTCGCTGGAAGTAACAACGACTAGATTTGTTGCTGAAGTTATGGTGGCGCACGCGTTTTAGTAAAAGTACACTGAACTGGAATAAGATATATTTCAAAGGTCATAGAGGACATGTGTTTTATAAAGTAATCTTTCCACAAGAAAAATAATCGTGCATTATTTACGCCGTCTCACGCAATTCAGGTGGAGGTCACGGTCCGCTCCAAGACCCGACCATAGATCAGTGTTCCCGACCATTACTGCTTAATTGGCTTGGCTGCAACAACGCACAAAGTTGGGAGAGTTGGTTTGACATCATGAAAGTGGAACAGCGCAAAACTAAACGAGAGACGCGTAGAAGAGATAACGACAGACACAGCGCTGTGTCTGTCGTTACCTCTTCTACTCGTTCCTCGTTTAGTTTCGCGCTGTCCCACTTTCATGATGGCTTGGCTGCTCGGCCAATCATGCTTGCAAATATACTGTAAAACCTTTAATGTTCGCGAGCCCTCAATTTTCGCGAATTTCA